GATCGGCCACTTCTCCCGCCCTGTCCACAAAGGAGGCCGCAGTGTTCGATTGGCCGTCAGTCGGCATGGGCATACAGTTGCTTGTCTTGTTTTGCTTCCAAGGATGCCCAAGTGCGGCAGCAGGAAGCCAGGTGTGGGCTGAAAACAATGATTTTGGGGCAATAAAGCGCTATTTGCCCAGGAGCTGACAAGACATGCGTCTGCTCGTCTTGATGGTCAGGCCCCGCCCCCATATGTAGTGTATTTTAATATTAATATAAGTACATATATTAGTATTAAAATACACTTAGAATGACGTTACATATATATAATATGTATATATTATATATATATAATAGATATATACACATATATTATATATACACGTATAATTAAAAATATTACATAAATAAAATAAAATAAATAAATAAAATATTGAAACAAAATTTTATATAAATTATATATCCATATGTAATTTCATTCTAACTGTATTTTGTTATTAATATATATATTGGTAACAAAATACACTTAGAATGACATTCTATATATCTATCTATATATAAAATACAAATAACCACAAATATATATATATAGATAAATACATATAATTACATAAAAGATTACATTAGTATACACGTAGAATATAAATACCTATAAATGCATATATATTAAAATTCTACATGTATATTTAAGTAATCTTTTAACATAATTATGTGATTTGATTAATTCAAATTTGATTGACATGCCTGACAACACAGGTAGAAAGTGCAGAGAATTTAATTCGCAAACACTATATTTGACCCTGTAACTCTCCAAGACACCATAAAACCTGTACATAGGGGGTACTGTTTTACTCGGGAGACTTTGCTGAACTCAAATATTAGTGTTTCAAACTGGTAAATTGTATTACAACGATGATATTTTAAGTAAAAGTTTAGTTTTTTGCATTTTTTACAAACGAACGGCACTTTTATGGACTATATTATTGTTGTAATATGTTTTACTGTTTTAAAACACTAATATTTGTGTTTAGTGAAGTCTCCCGAGAATAACAGTACCCCCTATGTACAGGTTTTATGGTGTTTTGGAAAGTTAGAGAGTCACATATAAGGCTTGCATTTAATTTTTTTGACATTGAAATTTGCCAGACTGGTTATGTTTCCTTTAAGAGCGTATGGTAGCCCAGGAATGAGAATTACCCCCATGATGGCATACCATTTGCAAAAGTAGACAACCCAAGGTATTGCAAGTGGAGTATGTACAGTTTTTCTTAGTAGCCACAAACACTGGACAAATATTAGTTTTTTGCTTTTTTCACACAAAAACAAATATGAAGGCTAACTTTGGCCAGTGTTTGTGACTAAGTGGCTACTAAAAAGACTAAACATACCCCACTTGGGTTGTCTACTTTTTCAAATGGTATGCCATTATGGGGGTAATTCTCATTCCTGGGGTACCACACCGTCTCAAAGGTAACATTACTAATCTGGCAAATTTCAATTTGAAAATGGAACATCTATATTTGACTCTGTAACTTTTCAAAACACCATAAAACCTGTTAATGGGGGGTACTGTTGTACTCGTGAGACATCGCTGATTATAAATATGTGCATTTTTTTGCAGTAAAACCTAACAGTATTATGACATTCACAGCTAAAATGTGAGGCGGAACTATAAATTTAAAAACAAAATCTTATTTTCTCACATTTTATTCATAATAAATTATGTTCCATATATGAATAGTTAATGATAAATTAAAGCCCTGTTTCTCCTGAACAAAATGATATACAATAAGTGTGGGTGCACTTAATGTGACAGCGGTGAATTACGGGTGAACAGATATATAGCGCAAATTCTAGTTTTTGTTTACGTTTTGTTTTGATCAGAACGTGCATTATTGACTCCGTCCTGAAGGGGTTAAGATAATGGATGTCCCTCATGCAAAGTGTGAGGACATCCAGCGTTGTTTCTGCAATGTTTTAGACAGGGCCGCCATCAGAAATTTTGGGGCCCCTAACACAGCTCAAGGTCTGGGCCCCCCTTCAAGCCTGCCTCCAAATCCCGCCCACAGGAATACACACACACACTAACAGATACAAATACTAAAACAGACATACACACATGCATAGGGAGATGCTGAGACACACACACATATACAAGCAGACATACATACTGACAAACATACATATACATACTGCATATTGATTTATACATACATACCGACAGGCATACATACATACAGACACACACAGGCATGCATACAGACACACACTGGCATACACGCACTGGCATACACACACACACACATACACTGGCATACATGGGCATACATACACACATGCACTGGCATACACACACACTGGCATACATACACACATACACTGGCATTCATACACATACACTGGCATACACACTGGCATACACACACATACACTGGCATTCATACACCGGCATACACACTGGCATACATACACACATACAATGGCATACACAATGGCATACACTGGCATACACACACACACTGGCATTCATACACTGGCATTCAGACACTGGCATACACACACACATACACTGGCATTCAGACACTGGCATACACACACACATACACTGGCATACACTGGCATTCATACACCAGCATACACACTGGCATATACACACACATACACTGGCATACACACACTGGCATACACACACACATACACTGGCATTCATACACCAGCATACACACTGGCATACACACACATACACTGGCATTCATACACCAGCATACACACTGGCATACACTGGCATTCATACACCAGCATACACACACACATACACCGGCATTCATACACCAGCATACACACTGGCATACACACACACATACACTGGCATTCATACACCAGCATACACACTGGCATACACACACACATACACTGGCATACACACACTGGCATACACACATATACACTGGCACACACACACTGGTATACACACACATACACTGGTATACACACACACACACACACTGGCATACACACACTGTAGTATACACACACACACACACACACACACACTGGTATACACACACTGGCATACATACACACATACACTGGCATACACACACACACACATACACTGGCATACACACACATACATCAAGTACACACACAAGCATACACACACTGGCATACATTTCACACACACACACTGGTATACACACACACTGGTATACACACACACATACACTGGCACACTGGCTGCACACATTGCATACACACTGCTGGCACACACACACTGGTATTACACACATACACTGACACACACACATACACTGGCATACACACACACACACATACACTGGTACACACACACTGGCACACACACACGTGGGAGTACACACACACACTGGTATACATATACACACACACTGGCACATTACATTGGCATACACACTATACACACACACACTGGCATACACACACTGGCATTGGCATACACACTGGCATACACACACACACTGGCATACACACTGGCATACACACACATACACTGGCATACACACACTGGCATACACACACATACACTGGCATACACACACTGGCATACACACACACACACTGGCATACACACACATACACACTGGCACACATACACTGACATACATACACATACACTGGCACACACACACTGGCATACACACACTGGCATACACATACACTGGCACACACACACTGGTACACACACACTGGCATAAACACACTGGCATACATACACACATACACTGGCATACATACACACATACACTGGCATACACACACACGCATACACACACTGGCATACACACACACATACACTTGTAACCGTGTGTGGTTCCCTTATTTACCACTATAATGTCTTAAAGCATAGAACTTAGTAGGGCTAACCATACAGATATCTTAGCCATAATTTTATATAGTGTAAGAGATCCTCTATTTAACATATATAAATAATTGAGAATACAATATAAAATAAGGATTGTCTTGGAAGCAAGATTGTCTTTTTGGATATTTATTATATAAAATCCATTATAGCAGAGTTTATAAGATTAAATGACATGCTTCCAAATATCATTAATAGGTTAACATACCCTTCTGAACATGTCATCATGTCAGCCTGTCATTTTAAGATGGAGCAGCGCCTGTCTCCAAGTCTCTCCTCTGTGTCTTAACATTTAAAAGTACACCTATTTATACCTTAGGTGTCTCCATTTTAGGGTTACTGTAGTTCAAATATGAAAAGTAACACTTCTTTTACTTTATTCAATTTAGGACCTCCCTTAACTTGGCAAACATACAAGGCCATAACTAAAGGGTGTATACGTCATGGAAATTTTCCTGACTTAGTTCAAGATGGCATCTTAAAGTCTGAATAGGTTATCTGTTGTTTATACTAAGTCGTAAGTGTACAGTCGTGGGAGATTCCCGGATTTGGGGAAGTTCCATTAACTTGGGGTTACCACAGTATATTGTGTACTGCAAGAGTCGTAGTATAGCCTTGAAGCTTGTTTATGCATTATTGTTATTGTAATTCGTCTGGGACAAAATGGCGCAAACATATTATGCACTGAGGTTATTGCTTAAAGAAACATCTATGAAAAACAAAGTGTTCCATTTCTAACACCTTGTCAATTTGCAATATATCTTAAAGACAAAGTACACAGTTTAAGAAATACAACATTTCATTCTAAAACTTGTAATATTTGCATTTGCCCGTAACACCCTCTCCATTAAACTGTGGGCATTGTAGCGCATTTCTTCCTTAAATTAGTAAACCAAAGTTCTCCAACAGTCTTTAGGTTTTTGTGCTCCCAGCATCTTTGATCATTGTTGTAACAGTAAAATATCTATAGTGTGATCTTTGCCTGTAAAGGTGGTTGATTAAAATGAGCAAAGCTTTTGTCTGGGAAAGAATTGAAAAGAACACCAAGTTCCAGAGTAATATATTCTTGGATAGATCCGGATACGAATTGTAATCCAAAGTTAAAAATAGTAATTGTATTTGTAATCCAAAGTCTTTAAAGACCTGTAGAGGTTTACATTCCTTAGATACATTGCTGGAGGTTGTGTTTGTAGAATACCTGGGTATTTGTTGTAGAGTATTGGTTGTAGAGTCCAGCTATCCAAATATTTGGCTAGAATTGGTCGCAGATATTGAATCAGCATCATCTGTTATCACCGTGGTGATGGTGTTGGTATTGGTCTTTGTCTTTGCTTGTTTGCTTTGTTTTTTCCATGAAACATTTTTACACCGTTTATGATGTGTATAGATTGGATACTCTACGATATTCTTTTACGGAATCAATTAATTGACAGCATTTCCAAGACATTGTCTTAAGTGACATGGATCCCATTATAGTAAATGTTATGTTGATACAGCAATCGAAGTGGATTCTCAGGAACGCCTCTTTTTGCTGTATTGGAATCTTTGTAACATCTCAGTGATAGACATCTCACTGACATCAGGTGCTGTTGTGCTAAAAATGTTAACAGGTCAAATCTGTGGAAAAATCTTTACATTTGTTATACTTTGTATAATAATGATAGATGAAATAGTAACATAGTTAATCTTTCTAGTGTTTTGTTTTAAAGATAAACACCCTTGTATATGATTTAGAGATATAAGGATAATTTGAAGCAGCAAAGTATTTACCACCTTTGTTCACAATGGTATGTAAAATTACATTCTCTTTAAATGTTAAAAATACTCCTTTATTCAAAATCTCTCAATCTATTTAGAATAGTTGATAATTGGAAATATGACGTTAATTATCTTTCTTTGACCTGTTAGGGAGAAGACAACTTATTCCCTAGTTATTATTAGTAAATATAATAACTACAGTTATTAGTGGCTTAAAATACCAGAAACCCCCAAATATTGTCTTAGAAAACATTTTTTTTCAAAACCAAGATCTGACAGCCATTGTGGAAAGTCACGTTCGTGAGATTGGATGCTTAACACTGTGAATCTTAATTGTTTAAGTATATTTTTCAGTGGCTGTTGGATGTAGCTGAAGATGATTAGAATGTATTATTGTTTCTAAAAGTGAGTTAAGAAAGCACTCCGATACAATATTGAATGTATTTATATTTTAACTCTACCTTTGTATAGGTGGTTTATGTACCTTTAACCATTACAAACCAAATTACATTTTCTTTGTATTTGAAAAACTGATAAAATATTTGATTACGTGTATTTTAATATATATACATAGAGTGGTATGGATGTTGAATTTATATCTTTGACATCTTTTCACCAGTTTGCAATAGGTGACCTAAATGATCAATTTCCAAATTCACGTATATCACCTGGATGGGTTAATCCCTAATACTCTTTTACTTTCCATTGACTGGCCTTGGCTCTGGCAGACTGAACATTTTTATCATTATAAATAAAGTATATGATAGTTGAAGTAAAGTTTCTGCCTGTCTTTCAGTTACATTTTAACTGTTGAAGTATTTCACTTATATTAATTATACCACTCTGCCAACTTAAAGAATATCGAGTAGTTTCTGTTTTAATAAAAACATTTTATATTTTCTTCTAAAGTTTAAACATTATTCATTATTGCAGTTGTTATTGCAATCATATGATCTTTAACTATCACGATTCAATTATTCATCTGGGTAATTAGCTGTTATGCTCTTACACGTATGTTTAATATATTTGTTTGTAGGCCAGACTGCAGCTGCATATGGCATTTTATCAATAATCTTCAATTGCGTTTCAGATATTCACAAAGTCTATCCACCTTTGTAATTAACACATTATGTGTTTCTTATACCATTAATTATAGTATCTCTATTATATTACACATTATCACTGACACATTTCTGATACAGGGAAAAAAATGGCATGATTGCTTTAGTAATTATAATTTTCGGTCCATGCACCACATTCCTGGAAGTCCAGAATATAGCAAGAATTCTTTGTTGTTTGATTCCCTGGAGCCATTTAGCGTTTTGATTGGTATAGTTATACCAGAAGAGCAAGGAGTACGACGGTAGATCACATCTGCAACAGAACCATTACAGATTCCTTGTTGTATCAATGTCGCTGTGTTTATGTTTACAGGAGGTCCTTGCTTTGCAGGTATGTACATAATATGTAGAGTTTAAGAAAAGCTGCAAATCGTGCTTTAGTACAAGTGTCCCGTCAGGTTTCTGAAAGATTTTGCTGGTCTTTTTATATTCCATTCTCTTGGCAGGGCATCTGCTCTTAGTAGGCCGGTATTGTTATTATTTATTAATTGCATCAAGGTTTCTTTCGTTAATTGATGTGTTTCTACCAAATTCAAATTCATATGCCACCAAATGTCATTGTAAAGTTCATTGTTACAGAATATGGTTCAAGGATGGTTTTTCACTCCAGTAGGAAATCTATATTCCTCTTCTTCTGATCCTTCCTATTAACCACTTTTTCTGAGTTGTAGTTAACAATCTGTGTCTTGTACTGTGAGGTGCTCTGATAGTCAATCTGGTTTTGTCAGTACCATGCTGCATCTTGAAAAACAGCTGGGTGTTGGCAGTTATCAGCCTTAATTTCTTTTTCCGGTCATCTTCTGTCTGGATAATAGCAATGTCCAGAATTAGCATAGCACTTCTTTTCAGCATAAGAAGGCTGTCTGCGGTAGTCATTCAATGATAAACTGTATGGCAAAGTATTTTCTTGCATCACCTTCATAGGTGCATCCAAAGTCTTTCATAAGCATCTTTCCCGTCTTTTTCTGTTTCCAGCATGCTTTGCCATCGTCGTTGATTCCATTATTAGGATTTGTAATAGTCCAATCACATTTTTCTCACGTATAATCGGTTTTTGGAATGATCTCAATAGGTTCCTTGTGAAATACCAGTGTAGGTCACATTAGCAATCATTTCACTGTGAGCTGTGTCTCTCCTTTTGAGATAGTTCTTGGAGGTAGTCCTCACGATCAAATAACTTGTATAGTGTGCAGTCCAATTCATTTCAGGTGCTTCCTGCTTGTTAACATAATCCCAATGCAGTTTTAAAACGACAGCTAGGGTTGATGTTATGATAATGCTGCAGACTGTAAGAAGGAGACACCATAACCAATTTTCCAGCATCCTTTTGCTTCCATCTTTGAATTTCTTTCTTACTGTATAAGATAATTCAGGTACAGTCTCTTTTCTCCAGAGCCTTTCTGATAATGATGTTGATGATTCATCTTTCGTACATTCCATATTAACTGTGAATGTATCTCGTCTGTCTGTTTATCCTTCTCCTTCACATTTGCAGGTTCAGATGTCAGATCATGATTCAGTCTGTTACATGGCTATGATTCTGGTGGCTTTTCTGTCGTCCTCTGTTTGTTTTATCTTGCCATCTTTAACAGCATCCATTGTGTCAGTCAGTGGTTCGGTGAATGTCCTGTTAATATTTAGCAGGTTGTAAAATATCAAATTCACTGTTCTCTGTTGGCTCTGATTGTTCTCTGTAGTAAAAGTTCTTGGTATCACCCTCTCCAGGACAAACTGGCCAACAGAAGGAAATAGGTGGTGGTGCAAGGCGAAGTGGACTGGAAAAAAAATAATTCCCTAAATTTCTCTAATAGAACCAATGGTTCTAAGCTCTCCCTGGTGCAGAAATATATTTGTCAGTGAAAAACATGTAACATTTCATATGGTGTCTCACCATTTGTATCATCAGGTATGTTGTGAATGCTTATCTGTACCATAGGAATAAATAGATACCACTGTGTGGGGCAAGCAACTAGTAACTTGGTTAATAATCATTTAACCTCAGCATTCTCCCAGACCACAACCCCACTTCTTTGGGGGTGGTTGGGGCACTGAAATCCCAAAGTAACCCAAATGTGGTTGCCCAGTTTTGGGTTTCCTTTGCAGTAACTGCAGGACCACCATCCAAGTGAATGGTCCTGGGATTATCAAATGCATACTAAGGAAGTGAGACTAGAAAACATGGCATCAGAGGTTGCACTTCGCACAGGATATATCCAAGTAAACATGGTACATGCATCAACACATACAAAAACATATTTATAACCATGAGATGTTGGCAAACTTTCAATATATAGTAATTCAAAAAGTATGTTAGATATTAATATTTCAATAAACAGTACATCAGTAATGTGGCAATAAGCAAATGCTTATGATTACTAAACACATGAATTACAGTATTTCCCATATTGTGACCAACAATATTCCTTTTCAGGAGTCAGAAGTACATTATCTATCTCTATAAGAGCTTGTCCTAGCCATGAAAAAGCTTTTGGGCAAGTCTATCTTTCCTCTATAGGAAGAACAACCAACATATTACCTTCAATGGTTATTATGTAATTAACCCCTATAAACGATAGGAGTATTTATGAGGATACCAGGTGGATAAGGTCTGGATATCCTTGCAAGCATAAACTCTGCATCATGACTGAGAGATAGGGTATGCGATGTGATCCAGTGACCACAGAAAAGCGTTGGTAGACACATTGCATCAAAGTGCCTGTTAATGACCAACTTCATGAGGAGAGGGCCCATGCTTTGTTATAAGCATGTCCCTACACGTATTACAATGCCAGGCTTTCAATTTGTTACCACAAAGCAAAATTCAGTTGTGGATATAAACTCACAACGTATCGTAAGAAAAACTGTTTGAACACCAGACTGAGACTCGAGATCAGTGAACAGTGGACCAAAATAGATAAATTAAATCTTATCAATTAATATACTTTCAATATATTTTCTTTAAATTACTTTATCCTCTGTATTAACTATGAAATATTAAAGTTAAAACAACATTTAAAAGCCAACTTTTAGTGTGGATAGGAATTACAAGGCCGTTCATAATGGGAGATAAAGAACAGCTTTTTAAAACCGAATAGTCTGTGAACACAAAATGACCTTGCGCCGAAAATTCACTTGCAGGGGAAAAACAAAACCTTCTTTTTTTCTTTTTTCTTTAGTAAGTTAATTAATTAATTAAATGTAGTTAGAACCTCCCTCAAAGACCCGATGACTTTGCAAGAAACATGTCGCCCTTAAATACTGGGTAAGTCTATTAAACAGTGACATAGCATTGCTACCCTGTGTATTATGTTGTCACAGCTATAATGTGCAGTATTACAAACTATTTATAAGTGTTGTGCAAACTATTCATTAAAAGCTAGTGGTCTAGTGAGCTATAGAACATTTATTTATTTATTTATTCTTTAAACCTCTGACCTCAATCGGCAAAGCAATATTGTAATGGTGTCCATTGCAATCTGCTGTCTATACTTGCTGCTCTCAAAAATTCTGAATCTGTTCAGAGATTTCTTGGGCAATAATAAATCCCCCAAAACAACAACTTTGCATTTATGCTAAACCTGCCTGTTGTAAACGTATTCTGTATATTTCTTGACATAAGTACTTGTACTTAAATCTGTTTAACAAAGCTGTTTATATTGTGGTGTAAAATATATTTTTTATTATTATTATTTATTTTATTTTTTTATTTTTTAACTTTGCTTAATTTTTAAAGATACCTGCATATTTAATAAAATTATGTCTAAATATTTAATTATGTCTTTAAGGCATAAAATATCTGCAAATTAAGATTATAAACAAAAATGCATGTCCTGGGTGTTCCCTTTTCTATCATTTATTTATTTTAAGTCTGGAATCTGATTTCTTTTGGGATGAGCACCCCTCTGAGCCCCCCAGTTTCAGAGGCTTCTTTGGAGGTGACCACTGAAAAGTATAGATTCTATAAAATAGATGTGAGGGGGCATTGGGCAGTAAAGTCACCTTAATTATACTTTTCATATAGCAGATATGTGATATGCAATGTGATTTAATATATCAGAGTATTATCACTTTAATTGACACTATTCTTTATGCATTATTCTTTTTCTTTTTTTCTTAAATTTTAATGTCTGTTTAGAATATTGCAGCTTTGCAATATCAAATTAATTTTGCATTATATGTGCTTTTACAACATATTAAAATTAGCCTCTTTCAGAATTGTAGAATATGTGGTGGAACTGAATCCTCATATATGAGATTTGAAACTGTATTTTTATATCTACTCTGTGCCATAATCTGTATTTATATACATAATTGCGGCAGCATATAGCTTTTAAAGAAGCAATTATTACACCCATCATGTGTGGTGATTGCGGACTTTTTAAAACCTACTTTTTATTTTTTATAAATCTGTTTCTGGCTTTGAGAGAGCAGGCTGCTGAATGCATGTAAATGCTCTTAATGCTTAGTCTCTATACATTTATTTATTTAATCATATTTTATAAAAACCTAGTTTATGAAATTCACTGAGATTACATGTGTCTGATCTGATTACAGTCAGTAGTACAATATAATTGTTCTAATTTCCTTACAGCTAGTACGGTGGGATAGTACCAATGATTTAAGTAAGCTTTCCCTTTTAGAATTGGTGGACTTTACTGCCATTGCAATAGACTAAAGACTGTACCTAAGTAAGCAAAGTCATTATGTGCAGGAATTGTGCACTTTAAATAGTAGAATACTTATGCTATTCTAGTGAATAGGGCTGGCTGCTTAACATATCATTTAATATATTTTGGTCACATTTAAAGCTGTAAATGTATTTAACATTTTATTTAAATAAGCCTTTAATAATTTCAGTTTAAAAAAAGTTATCAGAGATCCTGTATAGTTACCATTTTATTTTGCCCTGATTTCTTACATATATTATTTTTAATAATTTTATAAATATTTATTTTTGCATAGCATTTAGAGAAGCAAAGGATGTATAACCACCTGTTGCCCTTTTTTCTAGGAGGGTAGTATAATTTCAACTCTGTTTAGGAAAAAATATAAGCTAGTTATCTTATATTATATAATATATATGCTGCAGTGTACTGCATTGTACTGCACTCAATGTATTTAATAGCCATGTCTTTCTCTCTATGGCTGTATGTAATAATGTTGTTCATAATTTGGAATATAAAACAACGACTTCTCAGTTCCTTGGAATGTTTACATGTCTCTGTATCTCTGCAACCTTGGCTGGAAATTCCAGACTCCAAAAATAGTTATGCTGTTATAATTCCTGATTTTCAATCAACAGCTAGCGTAACTGACAATATGGAAAATATCACTGTTTTATAAAACTTTTCACATATAGTGGACATTAGAATCCAGAATGCAGTAATGCAATAATTAAAAATCCTGTCTGTCTGTTGCATGAATGTTTTCATTAAGCCATAATGCATTTTTCTTTGCATTCTTGGAATTAGACTTCAAATTTCATCGCTCTGTCTTATCACTTTTCTTTTGACAACATTTTGCATTAATCTTTTTCCTGCGCATGCATACTAAGCAGCTACAAAGAGAACATATCCCCCTGTCTGCAATCCACTGTCCTGGAACTAACGGGCCATGCTATGCTGGTGTATTAGGCATTTGTTCTATTATGATATTAGTTAAGATCCACAATTTCAGCATTGTATGCTAATTACGTTGTACCTGGCACCTAAACTCACAGTGCCTTGTTCACATTAAAATCATCTCTAATGATCTCTCTCTGAGTCTGGGCTACAAGTAGCTCAATAGATTCTTGATATTTCAAGACTTGTGCCATGACAAAGTGTTGTGTCTTCTCTTACGTATAAGAGGTTACCTAGGTATTTATTTTATATTTAAAGCTTCCAAGTACAAAGTCCCTTCGTGGTCGCCAATTGTAACCGTGTGTGGTTCCTTTATTTACCACTATAATGTCTTAAAGCATAGAACTTAGTAGGGCTAACCATACAGATATCTTAGCCATAATTTTATATAGTGTAAGAGATCCTCTATTTAACAGATATAAATAATTGAGAATACAATATAAAATAAGGATTGTCTTGGAAGCAAGATTGTCTTTTGGATATTTAT